TTCCTTCTTTGCTATCAAGTTGTATGAGTTCTTTCTATAGTTTGGCTATTATAGCACCTTCTCAGATATTTGATGTGTAAATATTTTCTGTCATTCAGTAAGTTGCCTTCTTATTTGTTGATGGTTCCTTTGCTATGCAGAAGAAGCTTGTTAGTTTGATGTAGTCCCACTTGTTTTTTTTTTGCTTTTGGTGTCTGATTTAAAAAATCGTCACCAAGTCCAATGTCAAGGAACTTACTGCCTATGTTTTCTTCTAAAAGTGTTACAGTTTCAGTCTTACATTCAAGTCTTTGATTTATTTTGAGTTACTTTTTGTGTTTGGTATAAGATAGCAGTCTAGTTTCTTTCATTCTTTTGCATGTAACTATACACTTTTCCCAACAACATTTATTGAAGAAGCTCTACTTTTCCTCATTGCATATTCTTGGCTCCATTGTCATAAATTTTTATTTTTATTTTATCCTCACCCGAGGATATTTTTTCCATTTTTTGTACAGATAGAGTGGGAGGGAGAGAGAGGAAGGGAGAGAGAGAGAGAGAAACATCGATGTGAAGGGACACATCGAGTGGCTGCCACCCGCACGACCCAACCAGGGCCGGGGACAAACTGCAACCGAAGTACATGCCCTTAGCGGGAACCGAACCCGGGTCCCTCCGGACCGCAGGCCGACGCTCTAACCGCTGAGCCAAACCGGCCAGGGCTCCATTGTCATAAATTAATTGTCCTATAGGAGTGGATTTATTTATGGGCTCTCTATCCTGTTCCACTGATCTATACGTCTATTTTATGCTAATACCATACTGTTTGGATTACTATAGCTTTGTAACATAGTTTGAAATCAGGAAGCTTAATGCCTTCAGTTTTGTTCTTTCTCAAGGTTGCTTTGGCTATGCAGGGTCTTCTGTGATTCCATACAAATTTTAGGATCGTTCTATTTTTGTGAAAAAATGCCATTGGAATTTTCATAGGGATTGCATTGAATCTATAGATTGCTTTGGGTAGTATAGACATTCTAATAATATTAATTACTTAATTCATCAGCATGAATTAACTTTCCATTTATTTGTATCTTCAACTTCTTTCATCAGTGACTTAACAGTTTTCAGTGTACAGTAGTTTCTCTTTATCCATGGTGGGTGGGATACATTCCAAGACTCCCAATGGATGACAGATAGTACCAAACCCTGTATGTACTGTATTTTTTTTCTATACATACTTGCCTATGATAAAGTGTAATTTATAAATTAGGCTAAGTAAGAGATTAACAGCAGCAATAATAAAATAAAATAGTTATAACAATATTCTGTAATAAAAGTTATGTGAATGTGGTCTCTCTCAAAATATTTTGTACATACAGCATAAATATGTTGGAAAAAGGCATGATTCACATCTAGATGAGATGGAGTGGGATAGCATGAGATTTTATCATGCTATTCAGAATGACACATACTTGTTTATTTCTGGAATTTTCCAGTTAATATATTCATATTGGGGTTGACTGTGAGTAACAAACCATGGAAAACAAAACCATGGATAAGGGGGAACTACTGTACAGGTCTTTTACCTCCTTTGTTAAATTTATTTTCTTGATATTTTGTTCTTTTTGATGCATACCCACTTCTCCCACCCCTTGTTTTTATTATTGCAATGTTTGTCTTTTTCTAATTGATCTATGAAGTTTTTTTTTCCTAAAACATATTCTGGATACGAACCTTTTGTTAATTACATGTGTTGCAGATATCTTCTGTTTTGTGTTTTCCTTTCCAATTTCTTTATGGTATCTTTTGATTAAATGAATTCTTAATTTTTTTTTAGTGCAGTGGAATTTATCAATTTTTTTCTTTTATGGTTAGTGCTTTGTTTATTTTTTTTAAGGAATCATTCATTCATTACCGCATGTTTATGAAGATATTCTTATATTTTCTTGTAAGGTATTCAAGTTTTGCTTTTTATTTTATTTTATTTTTTTTTATCCTCACCCGAGGACATTTTTCCATTTTTTGCACAGATAGAGTGGGAGGGAGGGAGAGAGAGAGAGAGAGAAACATCGACGTGAAAGGGACACATCGAGTGGCTGCCACCCGCACGACCAACCAGGGCCGGGGACAAACTGCAACCGAAGTACATGCCCTTAGCGGGAACCGAACCCGGGTCTCTCCAGACCGCAGGCCGATGCTCTAACCGCTGAGCCAAACCGGCCAGGGCTCAAGTTTTGCTTTTTACATTTATATCTTTAATTTTTATAAAATTATTCTTTGTGTATGGTTTGAGGGTAGGGATGTATTTTTCCAATATGGATAACCAATTTTCCTAGTATCAGTAATTTAATAGTCTTTTCTTTCCCTCCCTTTATTGTATATCTAGGCTTATAATCATGAGTTTGTTTCTGCAAGGTCTCTGTTATGTTCTTTAGGTCAATTTGTCTTTCTGCATCAGCACCATACATTTTTAACTTCAATAATAATTTTTAGGACTTCAGTGGATCTTGGATTTAGTAACTGAAGGAGCCACCATATACTTTTTTGATAATGAAGTTTCATAAAAATATAAAAGTTGTTGATTGATTCATTGAACACAATTTTGTTGAACACCTTTGGTGTGCCAGGACCATACCAGGACTTGAGGACTTATGGGAAAATAAGACAGACAACATTTCCTTCTCTTATGGAATGTATAGCTTAATGAAGTCAGATAATAAAGAAATAAATGACATAACTTCAGATAGTGAAAGAGCCATAATAAAAGCATGTAAAGTAGTAGAGTATAACTGTGGTGGAGTGGACACTAATGGAAAACAACAACAAAATAATGGATAAATTATGCTGTATTGAAATAGGAACTTATTTATCAAAAGTCACCATGAAGGGCTTTTCAGAAGAGATGACATCTGAACACAACAACAAATGATGAGGGGTTAATAAGGAGAAGATTTGGGGTAGGAGTATTTCAGATAGATGGAAGAAGAGGTATAAAGACCAGAGACTGGGGCAAGATGGTGTGTTTTGAGCAATCCAAGAAGGCCATTACAACAGGAGCCAAGGGAGTAAAGAAAAGAATGGTAGAGAATGAGATTTGAAGATAAGTAAGGGCCAGGGACTGTTAAATCTTTAGGCCATGGAATTCGTTGCAGGTGTAATGAAGGGCCATTGAGGATATTTTTGCATGATGCAAATCTGATTTATGATTTACAAACATTGTTGGGCTTCTGTGTAGAGAATGAATTCTACATAAGGAAGGAGCAAGCTCTATGTCTAGAGACTAGGTAGAATTCTAGTCTGCTGCTGTGATCCAATGGAAAAGTAGCAGTGACTTGGAGCAGGGTGGTAGTTGTAGGAGTGGGGAGAAATAGAAGGACTCCAGATACATTTTGAAGATAGACTATAAAGCTCTCAGAGGTAAATGATGTGAAGTGTGAAAGAAAGAGAAACATTGAATAATCTAAGGTTTTTGGTCTGAGAATGTGGGAGAAGAGAATGGTGATTCCACTAACTTGTTAGGAGAGAAGCAGGTTTGGAGGATAAGCAGAATCAAGAATTATGTTCTGGATAAATTTGAGTTGCTGTTAAAGAATAGAGGTGATTATAAGGCAGGCAGTTGGCTATGTGAGTTTGAGTTCAGGAAAAGCTATAAATTTAGGAGTCCTCAGTGAGTAAGTTCTTTTTTTAATGGACTTGATGGGAAAATAAATTATGTCTTTACTTGGATGATAAAATATTTTTGAATTTTTGCTTTGAAATTTGAGGAGCTAAAATATGTTTTTTAAAACTTAGCACAATAGAAACACATTAAAGCAATTTGAGTAAAAGATATGATGATTAAAATGTGAACGTGAAATTCTAGTTAAGTTAAAAATTAAATCTACAGTGAAGACATAATCATTCTTGCCCAAAATAAAACTAAAGCTTTTGTAGGCTGAAAGCACAGAAACATATAAAGTAAAAGGATGTGGAGATCCTGTAGCACTGTGGTGTTGCTCATGATCATTTGCCCTATTCTTTCACTGAGTATTTTTCTTTTCTCTGTTCTCTCTGGAACTGGGCATTGCTTTCCTCTATTTGTAGCTTGGCCAAGTGGGCGAATCTCAGCCTGAAACACTATTTAAACTGGTTATTAGGGCAGGGAGCTTTTAAGAACCAGACTTTGGAACCAAATCGTCCTGAGTTAGAATCTTACCTTTATTACTTGGTCTTAGACAAGGCAGTCTCTGAACCTCAAGTTTCCCCTGTCTAGCCCTGGCCGGTTTGGCTCAGGGGTTAGAGTGTCGGCCTGCGGTCCGGAGAGACCCGGGTTCGGTTCCCGCTAAGGGCATGTACCTTGGTTGCAGTTTGTCCCCAGCCCTGGATGGGTCGTGTGGGTGGCAGCCACTCCATGTGTTGCTTTCACGTCGATGTTTCTCTCTCTCTCTCTCTCCCTCTCACTCTGTCTGAACAAAATATCGAAAAATGTCCTTGGGTGAGAAAAAAAACAAAAACAAAAAAAAAGTTTCCCCTGTCTAAAACAGGAATTATACCTACTGTCCCTGAAAATTAGAAATTAGAATAGAAATTCTAGTGAATGTAAAATATTATTTTATACTGCTAGTAATTTGTATTTGTTCTGATCACTAATGAGGTTAAGTATCTTTTCATATGTTTATTGACCATTTGTATTCTGTGAAATGGCTGTCTTGTTTATTGTTCTATTGGTAAATATAAAGAGTTAATATTAATAGCACAGTAAATCTTGGAGTACTTTTTCTTACCAGTTGAGTATACATTTTCAATTTTATAATGTCCATAATACATATAACTTTACTCATACATACCTATCAATTTGAGGGGTATTGATAGCAAATTAAAAGAAAACAAAACAATTATGCAAATCTATTAAAGTGTTGAGTTGGTAAAACCAATATAACAATTGAGGTGTGTTCACTCATAGTTCTTATTCCATGTGTTAAGTATTTCATTATATAAATCTAGCACTAACGTTCTAATTCTTTTTCCCTTTTTCTGTTGAGCTGTGGTAGCAAACAGTGAAGAATCTCAACTTCTGACACCAGGAAAGATGAGTCAGCGCCAAGGGAAAGAAGCTTATCCAACGCCAACCAAAGATTTGTATCAGCCATCTTTTAGTCCAGCAAGTCCTCATGGCCAGGGTAAGAGTTGTGGTTTTAATATTTGTTTATTGTTTTCAGGGGAGAATGCCATTTTGGGTCTAGCATAACTTTTTTCTTTTGAACCCTTTGGCTTTATAGGGTTTTTTATTTGTTTTGGTCATCCATACTACTCTTGAAATGAGTACATTTTCCTTTGGAATCTTTTAATTCCGGCATACTTTGTTAGTTATAGCATTCTTCAAATTATTGATTCTAAATTTTTTTGGTCTCAGGACTCCTTTACACTGGTAAAAATTATTGAAGACCCCAAAGAGCTTTTGTTTATGTGGGTTAACCTATGGATATTTGCTGTGTTGTTAATTAAAACTATGGCTTTTTAAAATTGTTTCTTAATTGTTCATTTAATATTACAATAATAAACTCATAATATGAATAACATATTTTTATGAAAAATAACTATGTGAGAAGAGTGGTATTCTTTTCCCACAGGGTTCCTCAATTTTGGCACTATTAACGTCTTGGCCTGGATGATCTGTTTTATGAGCTGGCTTGTGCATTGTAAGATCTTTTGCAGCATCACTGGCCTTACCCACTAGATGGCAGTAGCACTTTCCCCAGTTATGACAACCAGAAATATCTCTAGACATTGCCAAATGTCCCTTGAGGGACAAAAATCATCTTTGGTTGAGAGCTACTGTTTTATAGTTTTTGAAAATCCTTTTAATTTCTAGCTTAAAAAAAAAATCTGAATTTTTATATCTGCTTCTGCAGTCAGTCTGTTAGGATGTGATGATTTGATTCAAATACCATACAAAGATAGTCTGGCCTCACACATATGTGTCATTGGCAATAATAGCTTTTATACCTAATTGTGGATATTCTTCTTCAATGCTGCACCAAAATTGACAAGTGGTAGTTTCTTAAATGTTCATTGCACTATGGAATGTGAAACTATATCAGTAAGCTTTTTGTACTCTCTTGAATTAAAATCCATTGATCTATCTTGAACTTTGAATGGCTTTTTACGCATACATGATTTTCAAACATTGTGCATTAGTCATTTGGAAAATAGTTGCTCACTGAATTATCCAGACCTACCAAGTGTTAACACATTTTAAAATACAGTAAAAAGAAGTGCTTTATACATACTTCTTGTTTTTCACATGGAATATTAAAACCACCTGTACTCAAGGTTTATGATGAATAATTTTTGCTGTTTCATCAAGGACATGTGTAAATGAAACTACAGTTTGGTGCCTCTGCCTTGATTTGTGCCGAGGTGCTAGCAGTTTTACCCAACCTTGCTTTTGTACCATTAGTGGAAATGTCAGTGCAATGAAAAAGTTTGTTGAAATAGTTTTAACCTTCTATACCCTCCAAAAGGATCTTGGGACTCCCAGGGATCATGGATCTCATTTCCTAATTCTCAATTGATAAGTTTTATGTATTGGATTCTACTCCTTAGTTAAAGTTTATTTGATCTGACACTTTGAATTCTCCTGTGGTACTACTGATAGCTGTGATCCAAAAACTTCTGCTTTTAAAACTAAGATTTTAAATTTGTGTTTGAAAGCTAATATATGTATACTTAAGTTATCAAGTATTTTTAAAAATTAAATTTAAAGTCTTATACTGTCTGTATAATTAGTCACATTTGGTGGTGTTGCTTTGTTAATTATCCTTTGAAATAGGCTTTAGTTCTTTTTAAATGAGTATTAACTGGTAAATAGTAAGTCACATGATTATTTTTCTACTTTATTTCAGTGGAAAATGTTTCTCTAGTCAAGTGTTAGTTGGAAACATTTTTACATAGCATTGTTAGAAGGAAAAACTGTTCCACAAGATAAAAATAAATACTATGTTAACATTTATTGCTTAGTTGTTGAATATGTTTTTGGAAAGTTAGCATTTTTGTTGCCAAAATGTTTTTTTGAAGCCTCAAAGTGCATATATGACACACTGGTATAAGTTTCATTAAGACAAAATTCTGAAAGGATACAGTTTCCCTGATTTTTCCATTCTGTACACCAGAATTTTGACTGTTTTAGATATGGTTTAACTGCTTCATGTATCTGTGTACTAGACTATTTTGAGGAATTCTTTAATTTGAAACTTAATGAAGCAACAGAAGGGTTAGTTACTAATAATTTCTCATTTATATTTAGCAAAAACATTTTCAGGCATATAGGGAATTTGAGAGACTAGTATAATGAACACTGATATACCCATCATGAACATTGAAGCAAATATTAACTTTTTGTTGTTTTTGTTTCATTTACTTAGGGGTGGGGTTGGAATATTTAGAGTAAATTATAGACCTGATGATGTTGTGCCCCAGAATACTTACTGCATCTCCAAAAATTAGAACATTTTTATATTACCATAAAACCTTTATTACATTTAACAAAATTAATAATTATTTGATATAATCTAGCACCTAATCTATATTCAAATTCCCCAGGTTGTACCCAAGTTTTTCTACTACAGCCTTGTTAAAACCAGGATCCAAGTAAGGTGCATATACATTATATTTGGTTGTTATGCCATTATGTCTCTTTTAGTCCTGAAGTCTTCTTGTTTACTTTTATTTTCTGCTGTGTCTTTGACTTTTTAAAGAAACTGGGTTAGTGTCCCTATAGAGTGTTTGACCTTTTGGATTTGTTTGTTTTATCTTATGGAACAGTTTTTCCTTCTAATGTATTGTTTTCACTTAAAGGTGTAAACACCCTTTGATGATCATTGAATCAGTTACAATATTAGGAATTGAACATTTGTGATTTTCTTATTCTGTCATTCTTTTTACATTTGTTACTGAATTTTTCTGTGAAGAGAGATTTTAATCATCTTAGTGCTGCTTGATAATCTGATACTCAACATTTTCTGTGATATTTTTCTACAAATGTTAATAGTGTCATGACTTTGATCTCTGTCTATATATTTTTATTCTTACCATCACCATCTTAGGTCAGGTCCTCATCATTTCATACCTACATTACATAGATCTATGCCTCCTAACTTCTGTGAGGACCTTGCCCTCCAACATACTAGGCTTATTTCCCTTAACAAAATAACCCAACCAAACAGAAAATTATTGTTATGTATTAAGGTGAGATTACGATGAGATTGAGGTTCTTCTAGGTGTATATGGCCAGGAAATGCATAGATTCTGTGAAGTACATCTCTGAGGGAAATAATATTGTTATTGGTGGAAGTGGGGTATCCTCTTCCCCTCTGGGTGCTGGGGTTGGGATCCTTATGATACCTTACGAAAAATAATTTTCTGAGGCTCGCACAGGAGGATGAGTGTTTTTATTTATGTAGAATTATATCCCTAGGTTTCCAAAGTCCCATTTCCCCTAATCCAGTCTTGGAAGAAGTACAGCTGGGGATTCAGTAGATCTGAAAGCAAAGCCAATGTCAAGAGTTTCCATTCCATGTTTGAATTGGGTCTGGTGTAGCATCAGGCTAGTTGCCATCCATCAATCTATTGTGTGGGGTCCACATGGCTCTGGGCAAATGCAGGGGAGCCAAGAGAGTACCCCCTGCAACAAGAGTCCTAAGAGTCCCAAGAGCACTCGGAGCCAAGGGAGCAAACTCCTTCGTTTAGGGGATTAAATATTCCAAATCATCCCGTGCTTGCTGTGGCCATGTCTGCTCTGGCCAATGACCTGTTCCCAGGTGTGACTATCAGGCAAGTACCTGCCCTTTGTCACCCAGACTTTACTGGGCATGTGTCTGTTCTCCCTCCCTGTTTAGTCCCTTCCCCAGCAGTCTGCAGGGGAATAGACCCATGGCTCCCTAGGGAGGGTTATATTACAGCTTCCTGGCAAAGCTGCACAAATGGCATTTGGCCTTTCCCTTATTCCTTTCCTGTTATTAACAGTTAGGTTAATTACAACAGTATCACTATGAAATAGATCATTGTAAATAAAAATACCACTTTTTATTATTTGTGCTTGTAACTGAAAACCTCATTAGATCTACATATATGTCATTCCCCTTCTCAAAAAGTCAACTGCTGATGGTTGCCTAGAGCGGTGGCTCGTAAGTTTGACTGTGTCTTAGAATCACCTGGGTACTTTGCTTACATACAAATTCTGCAACCTTTTAAAATCTCTAGGGTGAGGCTGTGTACTTACGAAGCTCTCTAAGTGTATCTAATGTAGCAACACTTGGACCAGCAAGTGGAAACCTGCAGTTGAGAGCATAAATTGCAGAAGTCAATAATCTGGTAGTCAGGGCTCTTAGTATGTCTGATTTTATTCTACCCTTCCAGTTACATTTTGTGTTTCCACGTCATGAACTGAGATAGATGGCTTCTTTCACTATTCCCCAGTGAAACTATGCTTTTGTTGATTCTGGTCCTCCACTGTGGAATATCCTCTCCTTTCCTTTTGCTTATCTAATACTTCTCAAATCCAGGGTGCTGTCAGTAAAAAAATGGCCTCAGAATTAGAATCAGATCAAGAGTGCTTCTGTAAAATTCTTTGAAACCTCAGGAAGATTTAAAATAAGTCCTCTTAGACCTTTTCAGCTAGACAAAGGACATCAAAGAGTCTTAAAGACGTACCTTTTGAGAATGACTCAGCTAGTCAAAAAACCTTCTGAGGCTGTTAAGTCTGATGTCCCACAGCACAAATGACACTCAGCCCAAAGTAGAAAGTGGTCTGTTTCAAAGAGATTTATGGATGTGGCATCTGTCTAATGGAATTCATTTTAATAAAATTTATAGGAAATCCACAGAGTTTTAATAAGAATGGGTCTAATGAAAGCACCACAGGATAGACAGAAAAGAACAGACATAGTTCAATTAAAAAGAACCTTTGTGTGTGTGTGTGTGTGTGTGTGTGTGTGTGTGTGTGTCAGGGCTGGGGGGTCCCAATCTTGTATGGGCAGGAAGCAGGTCGGTAAAGCTACACTGTTGAAAATGTGAACTATTTCTTATGAAGTAGGCAGAATGACTCACAGGATGGAGCCAGGACCCCAGAGGCAGAGTCAAGATGCACAGAGGACTATTTTCCAGGGAGCAGAACTGTGTT